TAAAATATAAAATAAAAAATAAAAAATGTTAATTGATGAAAATGCCCTTAAACTTAACAGAAGCTTTAACGGAGTTATATGTAGGTGGTGGATTACAACACTTTACAAAGTTCAGGTGGTTAAAAATAAAAAATAAATAAAAGTTCAGGTGGTAATGACACACATGCCTATAAGTTCAGATTGTATTTATGCAAATTTCCATTAAAACATCAAGGCATGTAAGTTTCCAAATCCTGGAAATTTGGAAGTTTCCATACAGGACCGTGTCTCCATTGTCATTGGACTCTTGTAAATATGCCAAAAGACTACTACTCTTCAAACCATTAATTTCTCGAATGAAATAATAATTCTTTTTTTTCACATCCGAAATTCAAATAGTTGTTTTGCAAATTCAGTTATCACATACTACTAGTTGTAGAAAGTCAAGCATGACGGAAAAGTCTTTTTTACGTGGAACTTAGAAAAAAGTAGGTGGCTGGAACTTTCCACTGGAAAAAGCATACAAATTTTAAGACGACCGGGCGTTCACATGCATATTGCAATTTCTATACGTTCCTCGTCAAGGCTGCCGCGTCCAAAACTCCAACCAATTAACAAGTCTTTCTTCATTCTTCCTTACTTCTTCTGTAAGCTAAGTTGTCGCTCTTCTGTATTTATAGGCACCAATATTTCTTGCATCCTTGCAATTCTCCTCAGTGATCACCCACATACAGCACGATTTTGTACGGAGAGAGAGAGAGAGATGGAGAGCAAGATGGTGATTGTTTTTGGTTTAGTTGTATCAATGTTCTTGCAAAGTGTAGCAGCACAGACAGTTCACGTGGTGGGAGATAGCATAGGTTGGACCATTCCACAATCTGGCGCCCAAGCGTACGTCACTTGGGCTGCAAACAAGAAGTTCGTGGTTGGCGATATTCTGAGTAAGATATTCCAACCTCTCTCTGTTTTATTAAGTTACAATCAGCTTCTTTTGTTCCTAGATCCTGAGGCGATTATATATATATGGAGTTTTAAATATTTGGTCGGCAGCCGTCAAATAAGGAAAACGACATAATTTTAATACTTTATATTCTTTTTTACAGGAACCGCGACCAAAACAATTGGTCGCCAAGTTTCACAAAATATTTGGGCGGCATCTCACAAAATATTTTCGCGGCATCTCAAATTTAGAGACGACGCAAGCAATCTTAGAGACGAAATACTTTAGTCGCCAATAATTTTCAAGCTTAAAGGCGACCAATCTTAATATTGGTCGCCAATTCCTCTCCTGGCGACCAAAAGATTTGGTCGCCATTCGGACAAATTTTATGGTCAATTAGTTCATAAATCTGACAAAATTATTGGCGACGAATTAAAAAACTTCGTCGCCCATAACCCTATTTGGCGACCAAATCTGGATTGGTCGCAAAAGATTTCGTCGCGAAAGACCTTTTTTCTTGTAGTGAAATAAGACGACGGTGGCTTGTTATTTACGTGGTTAGATATATAGACCACGACGGTTCGTCAGTCACCCTAGCGTCGTGTGAAAGTGTTCTTCGTTGTTTTTTAAAATGATATTCTTTTTTTGTATTTGATTTTTAAGGATATATTCATCACAGGTTCATCGCAGGTTTGATTTCTCTGAACAATGGTTTTTGTTTCGAAAATCTTTTTAATTATTTTTCTGTTGAAAATATTTTACGTTTTTCTTAATTTGTTTTTGTGGTATAGACGACGGTATATTAATATTTACGTTGTTTTATTTTCATACCACGGCACGTCGTTGTAATATTTAATACTCTGTTTTTTGTGATTATATCATAAGACGTCGGTTGTTTATTATTGACGTCATTGTAATATTTAATCACGTCGGTGGTTAATTACCATCGTGAAAATTTCTTATTACATCGATTGTTTTTTTCTTACGTCGTTTGAAATATCATAATACGTCGTATTTTATAAATAATCGTTGTGTTTTTTCTTTATTTTACTGAAATATTTTCACTTGCAGGTTTGATTTGTCTATAACCATGGTTTCTCAATCCCAAAGTAAGGAGTCTGGCTTGAAAAAAAATGAATGTAAGGAGCTTAGAGTTGTAAATCCTCAAGCCAAGTCCTCGAAGAAGATGAAGTTTGTTTCATCTTCTGAGACAGAACCAGCTAGCACGGCAACTATTTCTGAGGAGGCAAAGTTAGGTCGGGGTATGAGCACAATGCCCCGTGTTGTGAAGAGAAAATTTCAGAAAATCAAGCCTGCAGTCCTACATTGGTGTGTTGGCACGCTCCAGAGTCCAACTTGTGGACAAGAAATGGGTTCAAATATCCAAGGATATAAAAGAGTAGATTTGGGAAGCCGTTGACATGGCTTTTGTGGTTGGTCAAGGGGGCAAGAAAATGGTGCTATCTTCTGCCGCCAAGAAATGGAAGGATTTCAAGTCTACACTAACGAGGGTTCATATCCTTCCATTCATCAAGAAGAAGGAGAAATTAAGGCAACCCCCTGAAACATACAAATTCATAGAGAAAACTCAATGAGATGCCTTTGTAGCTTCAAGGTTATCTGAAAAATTTGAGGCTGTGCATGGGGTACAATCACAGAGGAGGGAGAAACTTGAGTACAATCATCGATTGTCTCGAAAAGGATATGTTGGTTTTAAGGAGCAATTGAAGGAAATCATGCCTGTGGTAGATATTGATCGATCTACCTTATGGAAAAAAGTTAGAGAAGACAAACATGGTAACATCCCAGATCCAAAGTCTGCAGAGAGAGCAAAATTAATTGTAAGCCTACTCACTCTGTTTTAAAAATTTTATTA